TTTAGAAACACGTTAATTAGGATTGCAAAAAATTAACGCTTGGAAACATTTTATAGGTACGCGTTATTGTATAGTCAAACCGTATACGCAACTCTAGATTAAATTCGTAAGATAAAATCTAAACATCAACAATAATGTCCACATAACGCCTGCGACTGTGGTGTGTTTATCGACGTCCTGTTGACTTCTGAATAATGGTTCTTCTCGATTGAGCTGTATATTTTTCTGTACATTTCTCGGTAGATTTCTCTAAGGGGATGTGATGTCCGTATTATAAATTGTTGTTTGGCTATTAACTTCAAAATGATTTCGATACCACCGGTACTCAATATATAATAATGATGTAACTTATTAGTCAATACCATCAACCTATCTAGTTATAGTTACAAAATGTAAGGTATAGATAATATATAATGATGTACTAAACCTATTGTATTCTATTCTGTATTTGGTGTTGGAAATAAATTATTTTACTCTACTAATTACTATAAACGCAGTAACGTAGCAAAAGTATCAGAAACTACGCTAGGGTTACAAAATTATTCTTTAAATGTATATATATTATTTTTATTTAATCTCGATCATGGTAAATAGGGTGACTTTCTCGAAGTTTTTCAGAACTCCGAAGCGCTAAACTCTCCACCGCTGATTTTGAAGTTACAAACATACGAGTGGTCAATTTCAATAATTATTTTGAAATTTTAAATGAATCAGGAAAAGTATCAGTTTTGCTGTGATGTTTTTTTTCTTTAAATATTTTCATAATCCTAACTAAATCTGCATCATAAGTATTATATAATTTCAACTTAAGAGATTGAAAAGTAGATTTAAATATTACGAATTGAAGAATACATATTTTATTCGATTTGTTAAGCAGTTTTTAAATGTTTTTCAAAATCGAAATAAAGTTTGGAATTAATGTGACATTATTAGTAATTTTTCAAATCTTACTATAATACTTAAATACAAAGTATTCTATCCATTACATATTATATTAAAATAATCGATAATCCATTAATTTTTTTACATTTTTATGAATTTTATATAAACATAAAAAACAGGTATACTTAAAATGCTCACACTTGATATTTAAAATATAACATTCTTCTTTAAAAATTGTATAATATTATAACAAATTATAATACGGGAAAACTTAAAAAAAAATTTTTTAATTAAAGATGACGTGCAAAAACAACTATGATTTATGCAATTTTTAGGAATAAACGTTATTAACGTCAACAGGCAAAGTATTGTTATAGGATGGAAAATTAAAACATAAACAAAATCATAAAACCTATAGATGATTTTTGTTTAAGTGAAATGTAGTCATTAGTCTTTCATAATCAATTAGTTTTGCGTAATTTATTTTACCAGAGATATTATAACAATAAAACACTATTATGTTATAAAATCAATGTTAGATATTGCTAAACACTATACGGTTGATTGGTGTGAATGATGATTCATTATTATTTTAACCTTATCCACCTCCATGTAGTTTCAAGAAAGTATATTTGCACTATGAGCATTTTAAAATAGATTTATAATTAAATATAAATTATTCCCGTATTTTTTATGATTTTGAACTTTATACTTTCAAAACATAAAATAAACGATTTTGCTATTGCTGATTAGTTTCGTGAGACTAGAATAATTTATTTAATAAAATAGACTTTATAATCGGAGAGCTTTAAAAATCATAAAAATTGAATTACTCACATTTAAGTTCTATTAGTATTCTAAATATTCCATTCATTTAAAATCAGTAGGTATACATACATATTTTAAAAAATAATCCTTCATCATTTTTAATTCAAAAATTATTTTATTAATTTTAAATCGAAGAGGAAAACATTTTTTGACATAAATGAATTCACATAGGCACTTGTTATAATATATTAACTACACTCATTGTGATTAGTCGTCACATTAAATCGTTAAGACAAAGTTGTAGTTACAAATCTTTGAAAATTTACTTGTACCTTTACTCAACAATGAAATTAAAATAAAATGGAGCAATTTTACTTCAATTAAACCGACTAATCCATAGGATTTTTTAAAGTTCACTATACCATTGGAATTCTATTTTGCCACAAATATTTATATAACGCTGTGAAATAAAAATTTAAAAATGTTTAAATAAACTAAACAGACCAAAAACCTTGAAATGTACAAAAATATTCAGAACCCAACTTAAATTACTTAAATCAATTAGTATTTTTCTATTAAATATAAACCATGGAAATTGACAAATAAATGTATGAAGTTTGGTTAATATTTGGTTGCAGAATTTATGTTTTGAGAAAGAAATAAAATAAAATTTGTATAAAATAATTTTTATATTTCAATCACTATATATTATATTATACAACAGATAAGAAATTAAAGAACTATACATCCAAAAAAACGAATTTTTTTTTTTATTGTGCAGAAATATAATGCTCTAAAAGAATAATAAATTTGATAGTCTAAACATTTTTGTAGGATTATTGCTTCAGTGTTTAAATAAGCGCATCTTACACGTGACGTTATAAAATCATACTGTCAGATGAACCGCATCTAAAATACACAAGTGGTATTTATTTCATGCGATTTAAATAACTATTGGGAAAGATTGATTTAAAGTATAAGTTAATATAGTGCAATTTATTTTGTTCAGTTTATTTGGCAGTATCTTCGATACAAGTATCTTAGATACAATAATATCTTGTATCTAGTATCACGATTAAGTGCTGGAAAATAACAAGTATCTTGTAGTTCGATACTACTAATAATATTAAACAATTATTTCATACAGATGTTATGAAAAAAAAAGTTACTCGATACATTAAAAAATTATTATTAAAAAAAAATTGTTTTCATAATATTTTTCATTTATAAATATTATTAACCATTACTAGGAAAATAATAATTCTAATAAAAAAACCTATATAAATACCATTCGTCTTAAACTATTTAAAAATAAATATATATATACAATAGGTATACGTTTTTACTTATCTACATTATTTTATAGTGAAGGTATGCGTCTGCAATTTATATGTTATTCAGTGGTAAGTAAATTATTTATAATTTAATTTTAGCAATTTATTATCTGAGCGATCCGGATGATTGAAGGATAAAGCTTTTTTATTTTTTTTATTTTGCCTTTATTAAAAAAATTACAGCAAAATAATTAATTGATTATAATAAGACTATTAGAAAACAAAAAAAAAACTAGTTAAATTGAGAAACTAGAAGAATTAATTAAATGGATGACAGGAATGGAGTAAGAATTAAGGAGACTAGCGTCGGAAGTGATATAACTAAAATAAGATAGGAAAGAAAAAATGAGTTGTCGGCTAAAGAGAATAGAAGGACAGTGGAAAATAATATGGTTGAAATTGAGATGAATCTTAAAACCATAAAGATACTAATAGTCGGCACTCAGTACAGCAAATACTATTATTTTTGTAAATGCTGTAAACCTGAATCAGTCATTACCGCATCGCACGTCAGTCGAAATTATTGTTGTACTCATACCCGTGTTTTCGTTAGTGTAATTATTACGATTCTATGTTCTTATATGGCTGAAATAAAAAATAAAAACAATTTTCCCATCCCGTTAGTTTTGGATGGAACGTATTAAAACATAAAAAACCTTCCAAAAACTGAAAATTATAATATTAAAGCTAAATGTATTCTTTGTAATGACAAAAATGAATTTAGTGGTACGTTAATATTGACATCCAACTATCGCGTCCATATAAGCTTAGTTTCTTTACCTTAATTAATATAACAAATTAAAGTAGGTATTATAGTAGATACATATGTGCAGTATTGTAAAAAATACTTTTATTAATAACTTTTAGTGATTATTCAATTACTTTTCAAATAATGTATTTAATATATCACCCGAATACTTTTCAAACATTTGTTTATTTATTTGGGTTACATTAAAAAAAATATTTTTAATTTATTTCAGTGTTGTTGGATAGCCACACTCTTCAGAACATTCTGCTTGTTTCAACTGTTCTTTGTTCCCTTTAACATATTTGTAGAACTCTGCGCAAGTTATTTTATAATTAATTTGACACTGAAATCGACTCCATAATCTTTGGAAGCAGGTGATTTCATTCATGAGTCCAATGAGTCGGCATTAACGAAAAAACTTACCCATACAAGTTTAATAACATAATTTTTATTTTCGATCGCATATTCGTATGCAATAAAACAAAATTCGCGAAATTTTCAATAGATAAGCAATTTCAATCAGGACATTTTAATATTTTGTTGGGACGTCGGGACAGAGAGCTCAATAACAGTGACAATTCTGATATATATATATATAACTAGCGGACCCGACAGACGTCCTGCATAATATTTCAAACGATTAGGATAATAAACAATTTATAAAATGAAAGAAAAATAGTTTAATAATTTCATTATTCTTTATTTTGAAATAACATCAATTTTTCTAAAAACAGTTCGTTATCATCAGTTTGTTTAATTTGTTTATTTTGAGTTGATGAACAATTCTTTTGAACTTAGAAAAACTGGAAGTTTCATTATAGATTTATTTGAATTCCTACACTACAATTAACTATAATACTTTGTTAGTTTAAACTTAAACAACAGAGTATAATATTAATTGTTTGCTATTTTATATATTTTTATTTTTTGTCATTTCCTGAAACTAACCTGAAACAAATTTTAATACTATAGAAAAAATACAATCATCTGAAAAATACATAATCTCTATAAAAATGTATATAATTATATCTTAAATCAATTTTTTCTTATAATTATTTTAATTACACGATATAAATAACACTTGTGTATATTAGATACAGCTCATTGGACTGTGCAATTTTATGATGTCACATGTAAAACGCGACTTATATTTAAACACGGATGCAACTGTCTGACAATAATTTTTAGACCACCAAAATTATTCTTTTTTGAAGTACTATATTTTTATAAAATAAAACAAAATAATCTTTTTTTCTTGTTGTGTACTCCTTTAAAATATACAAAAATTTTCAATACACACAATATATATGTATAAATAAACAAAATTAATAAAATAATAACTCAAATCATTGTAAGAGTTTATCAAAATCTTCTTGTTCCAATTGTTCTGAACTTGGTGTTTTCAATGGATTCCCTAATTCATCCATCCAATACCAAACCTTATTAGTAAGACAACATTCCCTATGGACAAATTAATATTCAAATTATTAATTCATATTTCATATTTTAGAAATACAAATATTTACTTAAAAGGAGCATATGCAGCCACAGGATTGCCTTCTTCATAAATAGCGTTCAAAGTTGGATGGCCATAATACATAGAATTATAGGTACGTGATAATGCTCTCACCCAAGGACCTAAAATTTAGAATGCATAATTAATTATAGTTAAAAAAAATATTAAAAAGTAATAGTTAAATCAGTAAATAAGTAATTACTTAATGTGGCTTTAATAAATAATATTCCGGATGCACAGCAATATTTTTCCTCATCCAACATATACATCTTAACAGGCTTACGATGACACTTAGACCATTTGAGATCAATCTTTTCAAAAACTTCTGAAATATTTTCCAAGTACACCGGTTCTTTTACTCTAATTTTTATATTGTCAGATTCTAATTTATTCATGGACTTGGCAAAACTTTTACAATACTCAATTCTAAATACAAATTAATAATTTACACAAATATTTATTTAATTATTAATTAAATCATTAATAAATGTTACCTAGATAAATAATGTTTACTACTGATATCAATGTTACCAAGTTTATATGCATCAATAATATGTAACACTCTTACTCTCAGTTGCCCAAGATCTTCACCTTCCAATTCAATAGCTAGTTCACCGTATATAAGAGTACCAGGGCTCATGGTTACATTCTTTAAATATTCATTACTGATCCATCGATTTTGAACTAATTCATATACTTGACTACCACCTAAACCTATAAAAACCATTAAATAAATAACGTATGTTTAAACTAAATATATATAAATTATAGCCTCATTTAAAAAACATACTCAAAAAAAAAGTAGGATTTTTTGAATTGTTGAGCAAAACACAGTGCCAGTCATACACAGACTTAACATATTTTCGTAAATTTGTTTTGTTTAGAACCTCTGGTGAACATTGCAAGAAAGCTAAACAAAAAATAATTTTTTTAATAAATTTACTCAAGATAACATGCCATTTTACGAATACTTTTTGTTCCACCAACAAGAGAATTACAAGTGGTTTGGGGATCATTTCTAAATGGTGCACGTCTAACACCATCTCTAACTTCCCACAGTTCTAGACATTTTTTTTTTAAATCCTTTTGTCTTTCATCTGCCAAACGTTGATCTTTAGTGAATGCCACAATTTTTGACAAACTTAATGCTTGAATTTGTCCCAATCTACAATAAAAAAATGCATTTAAATAAAATACGTACGAGATCTATTGAATTTACTATAGTATATATTGATATTTTTCATATTAAGTTTATTTTAAACGCATATGTATTCCATACAATAATTTTAATACAATAAGTATATAAAAAAAGATTAATTTACAAAATAAATCATAAAAACTGAACTTACTTATTATTAGAATTCCAAAGATACTTGAAAAAATTTGTATCTTTAAGAATTTCTTCTAATGGAACAATAGATAAAATATCTTCTTTTGGTCCTAATTCATCCCAGGTTAAATTCACATTATACAAATACCTTTGTATATCTTTTACATCATCTAATCTCCACTTACATATCACATATCTAAATGCAAATATTTTATCTGATTAAAAATTACTTAAAATATTTAAATTTTTTTAAGCACCTTTCAGAATTTGCTGGACGACTTGTAACTGGTTTATAAATACTAATTTGTACAAAACTATGATATAAAAGGAATAATAATCCTGCACTAAAATCAGTGAATATGTCAAATAATTTACACATGAAATGTCCACCAGGTCGCAGAATACTTAAAGCAGCTAAAGTTTGACATAAATACAATCGTTTCGATAATATTTCTTGAAAACTTTCTTGTCCTTCAACTGAAAATCCCTAAAAGTAACAACCAATTAACTTCATACAGTAATTAGTTAACATATTACTTACACCATCAGCCATAACAAAATGAACACCTTTTTTGTCAGTCATTTTCATTACATAATTTTCTAATGAAGTAATATTTTTTGGTTTATAGATATCACCATCATTTTCAGCACCTAAATAAGATAAATTTCTGATTTTATGGTAAAATATAAAATAGCTAAAAAGTCATATGACTTAATGTACTAGTTATATGATGTAAACTTATTGAAAAAGCATAATGAAACTTACCATAATATGCTTCAAAAGATTCTGGAGATGCAGCATAAAAATCATTTAATTTAAAATCATTTGCATTACGTAAAGTAAATCCTACACCTTTGGCCTTCCAACCTTTTCGCCATAATACATATTCAGTAAAACCTCCAGGTCCCGCACATATATCAGCAAAATAGAGTAAACTACTAGAGCTTGATAGCATAGATGACTAAAATTATTAAAATTTATAAAAATATTAAATGCGTTACATAAAAATGCAAAATCACTTACGTCATCACTATATTTAGGATCAGTAAACATAAAATCACATGCCCAATCAATGTTAGCCATTTTCATGGCAGCTCGATTTTGGAATATACCATTTTTAATTGTTTCAAATGGATTAGCTTTGGTTCTAGCGTGACGAAAATCATGATCATCAATATTATCTAAAACATTCTATATAAATTTAAAATTAGTATTTTAAATTAATTAAAATATTGAAAATAAAAATTAACCTTGCTAGAATTAACAACTTTAAAAATTTCTGGATTTGCAAATTCTGTTGTTTGATTATATGTCAATTTTTTTTCACCAATTTCAATCCAACTATCTAAATTCATAGTTGGTAATACTATTGGTTCTTCGTTTTCTAACCATTCCGTAACTTTAAGAATATCTGTAGACTATAATTTGATAGTAAAAATTTGTTGCTGTTAATAATTGATAGTTTTTTAAGTCATATTTACTTCATTTTGTTCAGGATCCCAGTCTAAAATAAATGATTCTCTGGGTTCACGTGATGAAAAACCCAAACCTCTACGACCTTTTTGAGTAGGTAATTGAATTGGATCAACCAAACCCTGAGCATTTTTTCCCAATCCTTCACCTTCTTTATAACCAATTTTTTTCTAAAAATATAGGTATAATAAAAAAAAACTTGTAAACTAAAAATAAATTATCAAAAATGTTTCTAAAAATGTAATAATCACCATTAAAGACAATCCTTTATTACCAGTCTTTTCACTTTTTCCAAAATTTTGATTATTATTGGAAGATCTATCATCTGATAAATTTGAATCAGAATCAACTACTCTTGAACAAGAAGCTCCATCAAATTGATCTGTCTTTGATTGAGTATCATTGTCAGAATTTAAGGTACTATCACTATCTGAATTATCTTCAGAAGAAGTTAAGTTCTTTCTTTTATTATTATGAGCTAATAAACAATTAATAAAAATAATTAAAATTAATATAAAAAACTACTTTAATTAAAATGATTGTATGAAAATAAATACCTGAGTTAATATCACTATTCATAAATGCAATTGGATTATCCAAATACGATTTTTCATGATTATTAGGAGCATAACTGTTAGCATATTTGATATCTTTGATATCACCAGAAACTTCAGTGTGCTATAAGAAGTATAAACCAAAATATTAATTAGTTGTAAAATAAAGACCAACTTGAATTGGTTAAATAATAGTAAAAATACATTGTCTACTTATAAAAAAGAATCTCATAATTTTTTTAAAATTCATAATGTAAAACACACCTTAATATTGAATATCTTAATTTTTATCAATGTTTTAAAATATAATATATAAATGACACACTTATTACTATGTAACATATTTTATAGTATAATTAATGAATCATAAAGTTATTCTAATAGTTTTGGAAATTCAAGCGCTTTGATTATAGTAAAACAAAACAATTTATACAAACTTTTTGCTTTGATTTATCTTTGGAATGTAAAGATTTTTTGAAATTTTTCTTATAATTTTTTATTTTTTTCTTAACTTCATAAACATTATCAGCAACATATGGAAGATCTTCTTGACTTTCGTCTTTTGTATAAAATTTTGAAGTAGCTCGATCTTCTACATGATGGGATTTTAATTTTTTATGTTCGCGTTTATATGTTACCTCCTCTGATGACGATAAATCACTGCTATCAGACAAATTGCTTGACCTAAAATACATTTTAAGTTTATGAAAGAATAATAAATGTTTTTAACATAAATACTCACATCATATTTAGGTAAGATTATTTTAATACAGATAAATTAATTAATGAGATAAATGGAAAATTGTGTTACATTATAATAATATCAATAACTTTCAAAATTAAATTTAAATTAAATTTCACATACGATATTATTTAATATGATTAAAAGTAAGGCATTAAAGTAAAAAAATTTAAAAAGTAGTGACTAGACATATCAAAACATTACATTCTAAAATAAATCCATCGAGATAAGATAATAACTATTAAGTGATAAGGTGATGAAACAAAAATTATAATCTATAAACGTTGGGGTACCACCAGGTACTATAAGATCTATGGTACCACCATTGATTATAAATACCACAGAAATACAGGCCCTATTATTTGTAGAATTTCGGACTACACACTTGATTTTACTGCTTTAAATAAAAATTTAGTCTCGCTACTGTCTTAGAAAAAGGAATATATTACAAACATAATATATAAATACATTAAATTTTAAAAAATTCAATAATACTCATATTTCCTAGTAGTTGGCTTATTATTTAATTTTTGTTTTGTAGACCGTAGTGCACACTTGTACATTCGTGGTGCACATTGTGTGTCGAGGTGCACATAAAAATAGAGCCTGCAGAGATAGATAATTAACTAACTCTATGCCAATATAATATAAAACTTTTTGAGAATATATACTAAATTAGAAAATGTATATAATGTGCTAATTTCTTTCAATACCAACAATTATCTAAATTAATTTGTAATTTACATATTATTTTCTTTGTGCAACAATAATAATTTCAGTTCAAATATATCAATGAAATATTTTATTGTATTGTTCAGATATTTCGTTAAAATAATGTTATCCATGACGAAATAATTTAATCAAACAATATTTAAAACGATAAAATTGTTTTTATTTTTCATGATGATTATGTATTGACAATTCAATTATTTTAGTTAAGCTAATCAGTGTATAAGTTCAATTTTTTTTTTCTGGTTTAATATGGATCATTCATGACCTTCACTGCCTTTCCCTCCATTTGTCTCCATCCATGACTAGTTCTCCACCGTTTTGGATTCCCAACATATTCATTTCTTTGTGGACCCTGTCTATCCATCTTTGTCTTAGATGGCAGAGCAGTCTTTTGCTCTTTGGCTTCCAATAGGTGGCTTGACCGATTAACTGTTCTCGACTTCGCCATACATGCCCTGCCCAACTTATCCTTTTGCTTTTCATAGTAGCTATTATTTCTGAGTCCTCTAACATGTTTATTATCTCTTCGTTCTTAATTCGCTCATATTCTCCCGTATTTTGGTTTCTTCTGGGGGCAAACATTTGTCGTAACACCTTTCTCTCAAATATTGTTGAGTTTTGCTCGACTGTTTTAATTGTGGCCCAGATTTTAAACGCATATAGTGCGCATCATTGGCATTACTTTGTATACAATTAACTTAGATATAATTGAAACTAGTGTATATTATAGTATTGTCTTTAATCCGAAAAAACACTTGTTAGCTGAGCTTATGCAATTTTGTATTTCCTTGTGGTTATCGCCTGATACGTTCAATTCCACCCCTAGATATTTGCAGTTTTCGACCAACTCGAACTTCATATCTCTTATTATCAAATAACTATGTCTATTATTTTTTCGTAACAGTATCATGTACTTTGTTTTTTCTTCATTTATAGCTAAATCCAATTATTTATTTTCATCTAAGAGAGCTTCTGCCATACACTGAAGGTCGCTCTCAAGTTGAGACTGTAAAACTATGTCATTAGCGTATGCTATTAGTTTTTAATTACCACTTCCTCCAACGCAATGTTGAAGAGCATTGGTGAAAGTGCATCTCCCTGTATCAGTCGAATAGGGACAAATGGATAAATAACATCTTTCTATATACTTAAAATAGATAAATTTGTAAATCGATCTTGGGCCATGGAAGATCTAAGCCAATGTTTTATTCGTTTCATTGAAGAGAACGACCTTTCACAGGTGGCTGCACTTATAGGAATAAATAAAGCCACTTGTAAAAGTTTAGAAATGTTTGGAAATATTTGTTTTTCGACTTCTTTGACATAATTTATATTGAAATCTTTTTTTTTACTATTTAAAGTTAAATGCCACTCTAATTTTTGCTTCTAAGCTACTCTTTGAAATATGTAGTAATTCCTATAATTATAATTATTATAATTGATTAATTAGTTATCATTAATTTCTTATAAAATTAAAATTAATTTATAAACATATTACCAAATTACCTTATAATGATCAATAAACTTCATCAAATCGGTTGTATCTAATTTACAAAACGAACTACAACTGAACTGGCTATAGCCAGGCTTTCACCAGAAAATCTATATTTAGGATTGGAAATAATAACACTGTCCATAATAACAAAATATGTAGAAGTTTTCCCATAATTTTCTACATAATTTGCTAATGACGAACATGAATCATTTTTTGCCGCCGTGGTAGCTGTTAATACATACTCATGAAGGCTAGTTGACTCTCTTCTGCGATGCTTTGATCCTACATTTTTTATGTTTTATTTAGGTTAAAAAACATAAAACAAATTATCAAAATCACAAAATATATACACCAGTTAATGGAGTTTATAACCATATGTCATTTTCTTTAGCAAATATTTTTATTTGTTCCCATATTTTCTTTAATTCATCTTCAGTGTTTCAAATGTTGTAATTACATCAAAAATTACGTTTTTAGAAAAACCAAGATGTTTTATTCTGCAGTAAAACTGAATTGACTACGGACAAAACTGGGCGAGCTAAGCCCACCAAAGCCCCCCCCCTCTAGTTGCGCCTATGGAGCCGTCTGGTTCTTTTTGGATGCCTGCTCTTGGTTTGTAACCGTTTTTTATGTTAGTTATTCAGTTTTTTATATGAGTCTTTGATGTTAATTTTAAAATTATCTCTATGTCGTTGATGTAGATCTTTTCCCGTTGCCTTTTTTCGGTTCTTATTATCTTCATAGTTTCTCGTTGTTTGTAAACCGTGAACAAGACGTATTAACGTTATCCAGTAAATAATATTCATATTGGGTAATATTTATTAAATGTTGATATCCAATGAGTAAAAAAAGATAAGGGTGATTTGTTTACTTTACTGCCTAAGAAAATATCTTAAAAGTCTGTGATTTACATGTACCCATGATTTAAGTATATCTTATTGTACCACAGCTATAGATAGTACTATATCGTGAATTGTACAGAAACCGTTTGTACACAGATCTATTTCTTAACCATTTGGTAACGTTCACAATATTGTGCATATATTTCTTTACATGATTCAAACTTTGTTAGGAATAAGACACCGGTTACATAAACATATGATTGAACCGTAAAATTAGGGTACCCACTAGTTCTCCCGGAGTGTGATAAGAAACGTGATAAAAAAAAAATAAGAAAACACTTAAAAAAGTTTCGGTACGAATTGTTTGTATAGTCATTGATTACATTTCATCAATGGTATAGGATTGAACAGTTTTTAAATTTGAATAATTTTTATTGTTAAGTTGGTGTTATGGTTGTGAATATATTGGTGGGATTTTTATTTTTCTAAGTTGGCAAAGGAATATTTGAGAATTTTTGATATTATCTCTTTTTTCTTTTATCATTCTGGGAAAATATGGTATCACCGCGGGTGAATAGTATTTTTCTATGAACAACTCGAGGGACATTGTCGAACCGAACCGCACGGCCACACTGCGAAGTGCACTGGCCTTGTGATAAAAATAATTTGATGAAATCAATTTTCTCTTTTGTTCCCTCTAATAAAATTTACTACACGTCGCTTTCAGTAGTTTTCGTCGAGTCGTCCGTTCGTTTTCCCAATTACACCCATTGCCTGAAACTGAACATCGCTTTACAATGGGGTCCGTGTTTAAGCCGGAATGCTTTTTCGATCGGTAGGAAATGTCAAATGCACATCATCAAGGCTTCGAACATCTCCGACCGATACACCGCTGTGCGCGACATGTCGAACAAAACCTATGTGATAGTAATTTGTGATAAATAATATCTAAGTTAGTTTGTTTAAATAATTATTCACTGTGTGTGTATAAATATATTATAAATAATCATATATATATATATATTTATACATATTAATATAAAATACACATTTAAATATAATATACCTATAAGAACATACAGAAGTATATAAGTTATTCAAGTGTTCAAAAAGTGTTTTTCGATTAGTTGTTCCTCTACTTTAATTTTTTTAAATCTTTTTGTCAACTACAACTGTGTATACACTGTTTTGTACCGTGAGTGTGTATTGAAAGTTTTGCCATATAGTGGTGTGACCATGAACGTTCTTGGCTCTAGAACAGCATCAACAGTCAATCGTGTTCCGGACATGGGACCACCAACCAAGCCTTTGACCAATGGTGCTCCAGTAAGAAAATCTATGTTTGAACATGTCAAAATTGAACATATGGTTGCCGGGTTTTCAGGCGGTGTTGCATCAACACTTATACTTCATCCCTTAGATTTATTGAAAATTAGATTTGCTGGTAAGTAACTAGGTTTTGCTGGGATGCTATTTTTAACTCGAAATGTGTTTTCTAGTTAACGATGGTAGAAATGCTATACCAAGTTATGCTGGATTAGGAAATGCTGTTACTACAATATTTAGGCAGGAAGGAATCAAAGGACTTTACAAAGGAGTAACACCAAATGTTTGGGGATCAGGAAGTGCTTGGGGTTTTTATTTTCTATTGTAAGCCAATATTTATAATATTGCATAAGATATTTTTTGATTAATAATGTGATTTTAATTTTTAGTTACAATTCAATTAAAGCATGGATTCAAGGTGGCAATACAAAAAAACCTTTGGGTCCTGCATTGCATATGACTGCTGCAGCAGAAGCAGGCATTCTTACATTAATTATGACCAATCCAGTATGGGTTGTCAAAACTCGTCTATGTTTGCAATTTGATAAACCCAGTGATCCAAGCAAATCATACAGTGGCATGTGGGATGCGTTTCGCAAGATCTATGGTGCTGAGGGTGTACGAGGCCTGTACAAGGTATTCTATAATACCTGACAGTTTGATGATGCATAAATTGAATGAAAATTATTCATTGCGTGGGCTAGATTTTTTCTCTTTAAAAGTTCAATATTTTTAATCACTCAAATATTAAATGAGTTTTGTTGTACTTAAAAGTTGGGAAAAATAAGATATTAAAAATATTTTAATAAAATTTCCCTTGGTAGTTAAATTCTAACAAGTTACATAGGAAATTCTGATATACCTTTATAAATTTGAATTTTAATTTCATATAAAACGTTAATTCTTTATATATTTTTTGAATGGATGTTTTTATAATTTAATTAAAGTTTTTAATCTAATTTACATGCTTTGATAAATATCGGGTATATTATTATTGTATTTTCTATAGTATTAAATGAAATATGGGCATATTAGATTCCTTTTCCCAAAAAAGTAGTTGGTCATGTACATTATTGTAGGGATTCGTTCCGGGCATGTTTGGCGTATCACATGGTGCCTTGCAGTTCATGACTTATGAAGAAATGAAGACATTTTATAATGAATACAGAAGATTACCAATTGATGCTAAATTGGTTGGTCATAAATTTATTTATCTATAATTAAATTTTATTTATTGTATTTAATATTACAGGAAACATCTGAGTACATTGTGTTTGCAGCATTTTCAAAACTTATTGCAGCTGGTTTGACTTATCCCTATCAAGTGATTCGTGCAAGATTGCAAGATCAACATCGTGAATATAAAGGCACTTGGCATTGTATAACACAAACATGGAGGTACGAAGGTGCTGGTGGATTCTATAAGGGATTATCGCCATATTTATTACATGTACTTCCAAATATTTGTCTTGTGTTGTTGATATATGAGAAATTTACAAATACCTAATTTTTATTACGTCATGAGTTTAAGTATACATATAAACTATCAATCCTGTGTTAGATTTTTGATTCCAAGTATTTTATTTATAATTAATATTTATATTATGTTTTTCTTTTTGTTAAAATTTAAAAAAAATGTCCCTTATATTTTATAAACATATATATACACACACAAATGTATATATAAATGTAAAAAACACAATTTGTGCAGTAAGAAAAAAATGCATTAAATACAAAAGTTAATGGTGACTGTTAATAAGTTACAAATTAATAGTGCTACATAAATTTGGTTATTTTTTTTTCTTAAAATAATTATTGCCTTTCATAATTACTTGCCCTTACTAAGACTATTTCTCTTATAGACAAATTTATACTTTGACAATACTTCTTTTAGTTGTATGTGTATTAATAGAAATATTGTAATATATGTTATATTTCTTTGTTTTTTATAATTTTTTTGTTTTTAAAAGTATATCCTTGTGACATAAAATTAATTTTATTAATGATACCAGTTTTTTTTTTTTATATATATATAAAATAGTTCTGTATTTTTAATAATGTGATGGAATAAAATAGTTTCAATTTTATACTATTCTGCGACTAATCATATGAGTACGGTTATCAGAAAGTTAGTAGTTTTTAAAAGTTTTTCCTGTCGTCGTGATACACTGATAATTGCAGTTAAAATAAACTAAGATTTAATGTTTTATGATGTTTCTATTGATATGGTTTACATTACAGAAATATTTTGTATAAATATATTCTTGTATATCATATTTGTTGTTATAATTTACATGTAAAATAATAATATATAAATATTACCACTTTATAAGTTTGTAGTTCGTTTTAACATGTCATTTAACAGTGTGTTGCGGTGCAGCCAGTAGCATAACAAGACATTGGTAAGATAATTTTATTTTATGCATAATTAGTATTGATTTCGGTAATTTTATTTTTTTTCAGGTATGAAGGTACAAAAGGGTTTTATAAAGGAATTGGACCTAATCTATTGAGAGTTGTACCTGCAACCATAATTACATTTGTTATCCATGAAAAAGTATCAAGATACTTAATTAGTATAAATAATATTCTCTAGACTGTATACATATTTAAATTATTAGTTTTTTTCGTAGGTTCTATAATACTTTTGTGCTCTATGTTGTATACCAAACCATATAAATAAGTTTACCAATTGTTGACTGCTAGTACTTAAACGTGAATACTGAAATGTGTGTCTAATTATTAATTTTTTCTTTTTGAGCAAATATAGTTTTGTAATAATATTTTTTTATAGCAAAACAATTTTATTTATGATATTAATAGGTACAGTGTGCAATAATTAATAAAGTACAATAAGATAATGCCGCAGCACTTCTTTTCGACAGATTTTATAGCATATAAGTAAATGTTCAAAGTAATAAATAAACTGTCTCATCTACCTACTTTAAATAGTGTGATAGATTGAAGTGTTAAATCATTACTTTAATTAATAAACCACCCATAAAATGTCCACATATTGTCATTTTTGGTTAATCTTTTTATAAAATAAATTAATTATTGAATATGTAATTCAAAGGTTTTTTAAGTTAAAGGCATTCTACATTAACAAAAAATATCAGTAAGCCTTTCCTTCACATATAATAATTGTGTTATAATTGATTTCTTCCTAAAATGTCATTTAGATCAAATGCTAAATTGTTTAAATAAATCTAAATTATTAATTATCATACATTTTTTGTTTTAAATATAATAAATGTTTTTTTTTTTAATTTGAATTATTCGCACGTTACAGCAAATAGTGAATGTTATTTCTTATTATTTTTCAATAAAAAACAATTTCATATAATTTATTAAAAATAAAAAAACTAATAAGTAATAAATTTATATCTAGGTATTTCTAAAATAAAAAATATATTAAAGGGCTAATTCTTTATTTATTATTGCATAAACTATTTAAAATGTGACCGATGATTATCAAGTTATTTTGCTTGAAATGTAAAATCAATAAAAGAAAAAGTAAATATAAATTAATTTTTAAATATATTTAAGTACATAACAAATTTTTTTTTATTTTGTTGAAGAAAATGATAAATATAGGAACCACAAATTCAAACTTTATAATTGTTAATGAATGTGTTTGAATGAAAAAGAATGATTACTGTTTTTTATTTTTGAATCATTTTTTGCTCATTTACATTATATAAGATCTCATATAACATTGTAAGAATGTACATCGAGCCTAGACATTTTACTAACTATACTTTTAACAGCAATAGGACAGAATAGTTATAGCTGCTGCATAATTAGAAACTAGCTGTTTCTGCGTGAACACAGTAAAAATCTGATCATTATTGTCAAATAGTATTTGTTAATTTGTTGCAAGGCCGTAACTGGGGGGGTCCAGGGGTCCGGACCCCCTCCCGAAATTTTCAAAAGTAGAAACATTTTAGCGGTGAATATAGTTTATTAACCATAAATTGTATAAAATAATAATGTTAACCCCCTCCCCCCCTCCGAAATTTTTTTCGAGTTACGGCCTTGGTGTGTTGGTTAGCAACATCATTATAATAATGTGTTTATTGGTTTTATGGACCGTAAGTTTTGTGGTGATGAATATATTTGATCAAATAAATTAAATTTTTAGTCCATGTTGTCAGCATGTGTATTTGTAAACTTTTTTCAAAAAAGTCTATTAGGTATAGTTATCGACAGAGCTTATTATAAGGTTTTTTTAGAAGTGCGCAAAACTTAAAACTCAACCCCCTTCCCATACTCAAAAATATTACTCCCTGTGTATTATTATAAACCTCGCTGCGGTCGTGCCATAACATTGTGACAATAAATTAATAGTAACAGTTTTAAACCTAATCTGATAACTGTCCCTCTACCTGCACTCGGCCATGAAGTCGATAACTACAATTTATTATTGTGAAAAATTTTATTTATAATTAGTATTTGCAACTGCACATTTTTTGAATTAGAACTGCGCATTTTTCATTTAGAGTTACGTAAAATGTGTTCAAACGTGCGCTAAAATAAGCTCTGGTTTTCGAGCCTTGAAATGTATTAAAACCAAACATGGTCTGAAGGTATGATGATATTGTTAAAATCCATTAGAAATTTGAACCTCAACATCACCAAAAAGGATGTTTCGTTACTGCGTCTATAATATTTTAACCGTATCAACTCTTAAATGAATTTACTTCGGTGTGGGGGCTTCCACGATGAATCCGCCTTTGAACCCTAATGTACATTATATACACTACAACTTTCGTATAAATTTTATAAAATTCTACGCAGGCGGGGTAGACGCGTTGTTCAGACAAAGAACAAAAATTAAATAAAAAATCCGACTTCATTACAAATAATATATTCGTAAATTTATTAAAGGTGTGTATACGTGGTACGGTACGTAAATGTATATACGTATGTTATGTATACCGAGTGAATCGTAATCGAATGTTGTAAACTTTAGTAGTATAAAAAGAAAAAAAGAAAGTTCCATATATATATATATATATATATATACACATGCAAGTATATAGCCTAAAGGTGTACTGCTATAACGTTGGTGTGGCGTACAAATATGGATTTGTGCGGAACAACTTTTCGCCATGGTTACGCCGCGAGCTGGTGGTATACGACGCGCTGCCGCCGACCGATGACTGCGACGACGGCGACTTATTCAAGTGTAAATTTTCCGTGTTTCTGCGCGCGTTCGCGTCGGTTTGTTTGATTCGGATAGCTTTTCGGTGTGTTCGTGGGCGGGGCGTGCGGCAGTACCCTGCAGCCCCGGCCCGTTCGGTTCTCGGCGCGCCGTCGGAATATAATATTATGTATCTCCCGTCCGCCGCAGTTACACAACCTTATGCACACGTACAAGCGCGCGCACACACTCCGACGTGCCTGCATCAACCGTACGGTTTGTGCGGGCGCACGCACTTGTTCGACTTTCGGAAAACGTTTGCGAAACGATCAATATACACATACCGCGCACACGGCGGTGTACAGCCGTGAAAATGGTAACACGCGATAAGTGCAGTGCGAAAACTGCTCGAAAATGTTCTTATTACAACCACGTTTCGAACACGCGTCTTTCGTATTATACCACGGTCCGTGAATATCAAAATAAATAACTGGAAACGCGATCAGAAATCTGAAAAACTAACGTTTCGTGTTGCTGCGTTCGTCTGCTAAACAGAACAACGATTTTATGCTCCCGCAGTCGGGGGTCTCGGTAAATTCCCAAACCCTTGGGGTAACCGAAATATTGGTCTAAATTAAAACAATTAATGTATTTCAACGTGTAACATATAGTAAACGACTGGTTTGTACAAAAATATTTTTATCAACACGGTAGACCGTGGCGCAGATTCTTCATAGTGTTGTATTTTTTTATTCTTCCGCGTTTAGTCAATGCGAATTCCTACTCCTGGAACTGCAGCCAGGGTAGCGTGCCGGTTGCTAAGTACAAGAGCATGTGTCCCAGACTTTTAGATAATCTCTTCGACTGAGCCCTCTAATGATAAAGTCAATTATGTAAAATCAATTACATTATACCGTATAACTGTTGTTTTAAATTTGTGATTAAACTTGATTGATTCGTTACTAATATTTTATATTTACAAATTAACCAAGTTTAAAAATTAATGATTAAAACCGTAACGACCATAACTTATAATAATTTGCGAAAGAGAAATAATATAAATAATTACAGAGAGTTGGAAAATTGAGTGTCGTAGAGCAGTATTCAACAACGCCAGAAGGCATCAATAACTGGATTTACAAGAAGATAAGACTATTCAAATTAGAGTATTGGACGTTTGAGATCTATAACTTTTTATAACAATTTATAAGGCCCTTAAATGCACAACTTTTAGTAGTAGTCAAATTCCTTATTTCTTTTCGACTAATTTTGAAATGTAGAACCTGGGAAAATTAAATAAATATTTTATGGAAACCAAAGATTTTAAATATGTTGCAAAATTCGTACTTTGTACATTTTAGTATTAAAGCATTAAGTATTATATTAAATAATATTGTAGATGAAGACGAGCTATTGATGTACACAGTACCGCATTAAAACATTTTGCACCCCGGCGCAAAAAAAAAATTGACGCTCCTCTAACCTCTCTTTAGGGGCCTACCAACAGAAAATATAGGATTTCTCCTATAATATAGCATTCCTCATGAACCTTTTAGATATTCTAAAATCAATGCTATTTTCATGTAGTAGGCACGTCGTCGCCGCACGCAATAAAATAATACACCATATTATTATAAATAACTTATGTTTATTGACATTATCACAACAAATTTGGGAACTAATATTAGGTTCTAGATCGCTGATAGCTATATTGAATACATTAGTTCATAGTTGTTTAAATTCCAACCGCATAATACATTAACATTAATTTACGATACTGTTATTAAAAATAAAAAATAAATAATAATTTTAAAGTAATATAATTATAAAATAATTTTAAATGTTCAATAATTTACAAGTGAGCAAATTTCCGACCACAAAATGTTGGCACCCCCAAAAAACTGGCATTCGGGACAGTTGTAGCCAATACCCCCCTTGGATGTACAATTATTTTTCGTTATTAAAAACATTAAGAGTTGTAATTAGACTCAATTACGGTGAATGATGATAATCAGGGCTCGGGACTTTATGTATTTGCATATTTGTTCGGGAAGTAAATAGAATAAATCTGATCCGTTATAAATTTGTGTTGTGGTGTGTTTGGAGTTAAAGTTTTAGTTTATTGTGCATATATTTGCATATTTTGGAATTTTTTTCTACAAATGCATATTTTTAAGATTTATTGATTTTTATTGCATATTTTAAAATAATTTATAATTAATAACTCTTAATCATATTTTTAGTAAATTAATCAATTTTATCTACATGATTTAGTCGACAAAAATTTCGATAAGATTATCATCTTATCAATAGCGTTACGGGGAACTCATTTTATTTTTAGCTCTGAAGACAATATTATTTTTATTTGATCTGTATTTTACAGTATTATTTTATTTGCCAGTACACAGTGATCAACGGACTACAATCATTTTTGTGTCGATGCACATATCGTCAATCGTTGTCATGTTCGTATTTGTATTCGTTATTTTATATTTATTAGTGTTCGTATTTGTAGTATAATATGCCAAAAGACAAAAAAAAAAAAAACACAAATTAGTCGGTTGAAAAGTTTCATTTTAGAATTTGGGGATAATGTATTTTCCGCAGACGGAAGAGTTTTATTTTGCAAAATATCTGAAATTAAAATAGAATATGAATGACGATGTAGTGTAATACAACATATACAAACAGTTAAACATGTGAAAATGATTAAACGGAGGGAAATGTTCGATACAAGAACCCAACAAATGATTACACAAGCTAATACAACTAAAAGTCTACTTTCAATATGGACTTATGTAAA